CACACACGCCCTGCCCCTGCAGGACCCCAACAGCGTGATTGCGGGCATGCCGGTGCTGGAGGTGTGGAAGAGCAAGCAGGTGATCGTGATGAAGCGGTCCATGGGCGTGGGCTACGCGGGCGCAGACAACCCGGTGTTCTACAAGCCCAACACCAGCATGCTGCTGGGGGATGCCAGTGAGTGGGTGGGGGGGCGCCCCCCGCCTGCCTGCCTGCCTGCGCTGGAGTGGGCTGCGCTGGAGGGGGCTGCGCGCGTGCGCGTGGCTTGCGCCGAGCGCTGGAGCGGGAGCGCGGGCTGCTGGGAGGAGGCGGGGCCCTGCTGGCACGGCAAGCGCCGGGGCTTTGTGGGGCGAGGCGGCAGCGCAGAGTGGTGCTGGGTGTGTGAACGTCTGCCCCGCTGTGCCGCGCTGCGCCCTGCGTGCAGAGGACATGTGTGACAAGCTCAAGACCCGCATCTTTGAGATGCTGCACATCTGAGCAGCCGCGCCGCCAGCCAGCACCACCAGCCGGCTGGCTGGGCTGGCAGCGCTGCCGGCCAGCCAGCGCGGCGTGGTGAGGGAAGGAGCTCAGGCCCAGGAGCGGCGGCGGGCCTGGCTCGCCCCGCAGGCCCTGCCCCGCCCCGCCACCACACCCTAGGCCCTGGGCCTCACCACACACAAACACCCCGGCCCCAACACTGCCCCTCTCTGTAGTTTGCACCGCAAATGTGTCTGTACTGATGTGCATCTGTGTCTGTATTCATATCGTCCCCCCTCCCACATATTTCTTTTCCTGTCGCACACCACCCGCCCTTGTGTTGTCTGCCGCCCGCACCCGCTCCACCCACACGCACGCCACAAGGGTGGGACCCCCGCCCTTTCGTTTTTGCTCAGGGCTCTGCCCTGGAGATATAATTAGTCGCCCCCCCAACGCCAACCCTTTTTCCAGCGCACGTTTTCTTTGTTTTGCCTGGCGCCACACAAACACATGAGACCCTCTCCTTGCCCCACCCCACATATGATGATGATCGCATGAATCGCTGAATGATGCTGAGTGAGTGAGCACGGCTCGCTCTTGAATTTTGCAACAGAGATATATCCATCAGAGGCAAGGATGTGGGTGCACACGCTGCTGGGGCAGCATTGAAGCCGCGGGGGACTGCCAACCGAACAAACACGCAACGCTAGACAAGCAAACAAAACCATACATAAAATGGGGCACACGCCGGGCTTGGATGGCGGGCAGGGTGGCGGCGAGGGCCACACGGCCCAGCGCCCTGGCCCGCCTCCCTCCCCTTCCTGCCCGCTCCCCTCCCTCTCACCCCTCCCCCGCACACCCTCAGCTGCTGTCTGCCATGAGCAGCTGCCGCAGCGCCGCCGCCATCAGCCTCATCGACTCCTCCGCGCTCCCCTCCTGGCCGCTGTCCCCCGCGGCCGCGCCGCCGCCGTTGGCGCGCCGCTGCCGCGCCTGCGCGGCGCGGCTGGGCGGCGTGAACTGCTCCAGCACCTTCTCAAAGTCGGCACGGGACAGCGCCCGCAGGGTGCCCTCGCGGCTACTGCAGCGCCACAGGGACAGGGTGCACGCCACAAGGGCAGGGCGGCATATTTAGGGGACATCATGGGTGGGGACCGGGGCGGCGGCTGAGCAGGTGCACAGCCCCTGCAGCAAGCTCGCCAGCTGGATGCACGGGCACAAAGGAGGCCCGCAGGTGCCGCCAAGCGGCGCACGCACCGCACCCTCCCCACCCCCCAGCTCACTCTATGTGCTCCTGGATGGGCACCGCCGCCGCCTGGCTGCACAGCTGCACCAGGTCGCTGCCGCTGAAGCCGTCGGTGCGCTCCGCCAGCCAGGCCAGCCCGCTGCCACCGTCTGCGGCGCCCAGCGGCAGCAGCTGCGGCTCGATGTTTTCCGGCCCAATCTCCCGCGCATGCCGCTGCAGCGTCAGCCGCAGTATCGCCTCGCGCTGCGTCACATTCGGCAGCTTGACCTGCGGCGGGGCGGGGGAGGCCGGAGGGGCGTGAGCCCTCGGCGCCGCTGCCCGTCTCTCTGGAGCTGCTTGCGTCTGTGCAGCCGGCGCCAGGTGCCACACCCTGCCGCTGCCTCAGCATGAGCGCAGCCCCCCACACCCACACCCACACACAGCCAACCGTCCCGCCTGCGCCTCACCTCGTACTGCAGCGAGAAGCGGCGCAGCACCGCGTCGTCCAGCCTGTCCTTCTTGTTGGTGGCGCCCAGCACCAGGATGTTGCTGCGACCCGTGGTCTCAAACCCCTCCCACAGCTGCGCCAGCGGGGGGGCGGGCAGGCGGGCGCGCAACCAATCAATCAGGGGCGGCGGCAGGGTACAGCGCCCGGCGAGCCGGTGCATGCACAGGGGTGCGCAGGTCTGCAACGGGCGGCCTTGAGGGTGTACAGGCAGAGAGAGCGCACGCCCGGCCCGGCCCAGGCCAGCCGGGTGCAGCCCCCCCAGCGCTCTTGCCTGCATGAACTCCGTCTTGATGGCGGTGGTGGCCTCGTGCTCCTGGTGGCTGCGCTGCCCCAGCAGTGAATCCACCTCATCTGCGGCACAGGAGGGCAGCGGGGCGTATGAGCCTGGCTGCCTCTTTGGTGCCAGCGGCAGGCAGCGGCCCGACCATCGCCCCGGCGTGCCCGCCTGCCTGCCGCTGCCACCAGGTCCTGCATGCACCTCCCGCTGCGCCCTGGATGCATGCAGGGCCTCCCACGCCCCCTGCTGGTCTCGCCCCTGCCCCACCTATGAACAGGATGCAGGGCTGCAGCTTGCTGGCCAGGCTCCACACCGCCGCCACCAGCTTGTTGCTGTCGCCGTACCACTTGCTGCAGCAGGTGTGGTGGGCAGGGGGACGCAGCTGGAGCAGGGGGCAGCGGGAGCGGTGCCAGCAAGCCAGGTACAGGGCAGGGCAGCGCTTTGGCAGCACGCTGAGCGAGCATATATTTCAGGCGTTTAGGGGCCTGCCCGGGTGCGCTGCCGCCGTCGGACCATGCACGCCTGGCGCCACCTGGCGCGCACCTCAGGATGGTGGACGACTTGAGGAGGATGAAGCAGGCGTTGCACTCACGAGCCAGAGCCTTGGCCAGCATCGTCTTGCCTGCCAGGCACAAGGGGACGGGGCAGCGAGGCCTGAGGCAGCTGGCAGGCAGGCGCTGCTGGCCAGGCGGCACACCAGGTGGCTGGCGTGGCGCGCATCCCTGCAGCAGCTGCAGCCGCCCTGCAGCCGCCTTCCAGCGCCCCGCTGCCAGCCAGCCCGCCACCCAGGCACCCACCCACCTGTGCCGGGCGGGCCGTACAGCAGCACGCCGCGCTTCTGGCGCAGCAGGTTGGAGCGGAAGTGCTCTGGGTGGCGCATGGGGGTGATGACGTTCCGCGTCACATCCTCGATGATGTGGTCCAGCCCCCCCACATCCTCCAGGGTCACGTCGATGGCCGCAGGGTTGATCACCGCCTGGGCCACCACCTGCGCACGGGGCGGGGCGGACGGACGGACGGGGTGGAGCGGTGGAGAGGCCAGCAGTAGCCACCGAGCGCCGGAAATGGAACCGCGGGCTGCGCGCTCGGCGCCAGCCTGCCCTGCCATCCCCGGCCCTTCCCGCGTGCCCCCCTACCAACCCCCGCACGCGCGACTCACGTCCTCGTACTGGCCGTCCAGGTTCACGGGGCGGCCCAGCCGCTTGGCCAGCTCCTTCTTGCGCAGCTTGGCCATCGCCTTTGCGTTCTTGTTGGGGTCCATCTGGTTCAGGGCCCACCGCAGGATGAGCCACGACCCCAGCATGCTCAGCCCCAGGTAGCCCACCTGCCAAGGGATGTGTCCACAAAGGGCAAGCATGAGCAAGGCGGCGGCAGTGCCGGGAGAGCAGGGAGGAGGGCCCAGCGCTGAGCGGCCGGCGGAGCGCGACGGCCTGCCCGCTGGCCGGGGCCCGGCACCGGACCGTCGGCGGCTGTCGTGCGGTGCTCAGGATGGCTTGGCGACCGTCCTGCTTCGTTCAGCGACTGGCAGGGGTGCCTAGCAGGCCCGGCAGGCCAGCAGCCCACCGCACACCTCCAGGATGGTTTGCTTGTGTGTCGCCGCTTCCCTCATCGTCTTGTTGGCTCCTGATTGTATGGTGGTCCACCAGCCGGCCATACAGGTGACGGACGCCCGACAGGAGAGACGCGCTCAGCTCGCACCGAGGTTTGCTGGAGCACAGCAGGGCGCCACGGTGTGTGTGCTTGCAAGCGATCCCGCAGAGGGGCCGGGGGAGCCGTGTCTCCCTGATCCAGTGTTTCTGGCCCTCGTGGCAGCGTTGGCGATGGGCTGGCGATGAGGACCGCTGTCGCATCCAAATTTCGCCAATCAACTGGCGATGGCACAGTGGGGGTTGGCGAAATGCGGGGGAACCACCCTTGCGCCTGGCGCGGCGCAGCGGACGCATGCGGTGCCGCCGTTGCTTTGTCGGCACTTGCCTCCCTTTATGGGGGACTGGGGGCGAAGCCCCCAGAAAGCTGGCGCTTTTTTAACACTATGGAATGAAGTTCCTGAGGAAATTTGGCCATTTTCCCTCAATATATTGGCGATGCCAGTCATGGGGGATGGCGACGGGCTGGCGACCATGCCCTGCCGCCTGCCCTCATTTCGCCAGCCTTCGGCCAATCGCCAGCCAGAGCCGTTTTTTGCCCGATTTCGCCAGCATTTGGCGATTTCGCCAGCTTTCAGAAACACTGCCCTGATCATCGGCCCGTGCCAGCTCAGCCCCTCCTGGCGCCTCCTGCCTTGCAGCACGCTGACTGTTGTCAGGCATTTAACATATATATGTATCATCTAGTCCAATCAAATTATTGCTGAGGGCCTTGGCCTACCGGCACCGGATGCCACGCTTCCAACGCTTGCCAACGGATTCTTGCCGATACACGTGATGGCGGAAGAGTGTGATCGCAAATTGGTGAGCGCAAGCAGAGTAAACAAGGGCGCTGCTCAACGGTCTGCCACCGCCGCTCCCGACGCCGCCCCCTGCAGCTTTGCCCGCCACGCCGCCTCCAACGCCAGGTAGACCTGCTCCGGGCTCTGCTCCACCTCCTCATCCTTCGCCCCCTTCTTCTCCTTCTGCTGCTGCTGCTGCCGCTGTGCAGCACTCTGGGCCGCCGCCGCCTTGGCACGATGGGCCTCGGCGGCGGCACGCTGCTCCGCCAGGCGCGCCTCTGCTCGGCGCGCCACGGCAGCCAGGCGCCCCTCCTCTCGCCGCAGCAGCGCCGCCATGGCCCTCATCTCCGTCCTGCCCCGCCGGCGCAGCGCGCGCGGCAGCTCCACCAGGCGCAGCGTGCCGCCGATATCACCCACCGCCACCAGCTGAGCCTGCGGCGCCCTGCTGCTGCTGGAGGCCGGCTGCGGCGACACCGACAGGGAGGTCAGGGCGCAGGGGGCCACAGGGGCCACCACAGCAGGCTGGTGGGTGCGGTCCACCAGGTCCCAGACCTCCAGCCGCCCATCCGCCCTGCCCACGATGATGGTGCCTGCACTCCAATCAGGAGGGCAGGTGTGGAGGTTGTCAGGCCAGCCAACTGCACGCTCTCGCGCCCTGCCACCCAGGTGGCGTCATCTGCAAGCAAGGCAATCAGCAGGCGGCAAGTGGCTCCGCCAACAGCTACCTGGCTTGGTGGGGCTCCAGCATCCGCAGGTGTAGAAGGACTCTGTGTATGGGCTGCGGAAGAGCGGGAGGCAGGATCCACCGCCGCTCTCATCCTTGTTGCTGTCCTGCTTGCCACCCTTGCCGGCGGCAGCCTCGCCTCCGTCCTTGCCAGCCTCCACGCTGCTGCCGCCTGGGTCGCTGCTGCCGGCGCCGCTGCCGCCGATGCCCGGCAGCCGCCACACCACAAACCCGCTGTCCCCCACAGCCAGCAGCGCGTCGCTGAAGAAGGGGCTGAAGGCCAGCGCAGCGATGCGCCCAGTGTGCCCCACCACCAGCTGCACCGTGTGGTGCACCCACTCGGCGCTGCCCTGCATGGGTGCGAGCCGTCACAGGGAGGGAGGTTCAGCCAACGTTGGAGGGGCACAGGCACTGTCGGCATCGCAAGCCAGACCGTGCCGCACCCATTATGCAGTCTCCCTGCCTGCCTGGGCCCACCTTGCATTCATACAAGAGGGTGGTAGCATCCGCCATAGCCAGCTCCCCCTCCAGAGATCCCAGCACAAACCGCCCTGCCCCCCAGCGTTTGTCCTGGCAGAAGCGTGTGGCGAGTAGCGGCTGCTTGGCGGTGCTGGCAGCGGACAGGCCCAGCACCGGCTTCCAGTCGGGCTGCTCCTCATCTGCAGGTGCCAGCGCAGCATCATGCGGGTGGCATCGATGCGATATCAGCCAGGGGAACTCTTGTGCAGCAGCAAAGCTGGGCATTCGAGGTTGAACCAATATGCCAGATGGGCATATCAGCAGTACCACACACAGCTGATGCATGCAAGTATGGCAGCTGGGCGCGCGGCGCTGCCTGCCTTTGACTGCTGCCTTGCGCTGCCTGGTGGTGATGCGCATGTCCCAGAGCAGCAGGCTGCCGTCGGCTGCCGTGGTGGCAAACAGGGTGCATGTGTCGGCAGAGGCGCCGCTGCCGGCGCCGGTGGCACCCTCGCTGCCAGAAGCCGGCTCGAGCTTGCCGTCCCTGTTGATCACAGCGCCGGGCAGCCACTGCAGGTCTGTGACGCCTGCCTGGTGGCTGGCTTCGGGCATCGACACAAAGCTGGGCAGCAGCTCTGCTGCCTTGCTGCCGTCCTGCCGCGCATGATCCGGGTCTGCTGTGGAGCCCACTGCCCCTTGCGCACCATGCTGCTGGTTGTGTGCCGAAGAGCTGCCAAGGATGGCGCTGGCACCGGTGGCGGCAGGGGCAGCTGCGGAAGTTGGAGGCCTGGGCAGCCCTGCTGCAGTTCCTGCCGCTCCCTGCTGCTGCTGCTGCTGCTGCATGTTGAAGAGTGCCACTTGACCGGTGGCCAGCCCCGCAGCCAGGAAGTGGGGCTGGGTGGGGTGGAAGGCCAGCGCCAGCACATCTGCCGGTGCTTGCAGCACAGCCTCTGGATGGATGGCGTCTGCGTGGTTCCACACCAGGATGCAGCCAGTGGGCGGCTGACGCAGGAAGTCAGCGCTGCTAGATGCCTGCGCCTGCGCGCGCTGCTGCTGCTGCTGCTGTGCGGCAGAGGCGGGGGCAGCGGCATCGCCGCTGCCTGCCGCCTTGCCATCTGCATGCTGCTGCTGAGGTGCTGCAGCCTGCTGCTGTTGCGGGCGGGTGCATGCTGTTGCCACCACGCCGCGGCGGCTGGGATGCCAGTCCACTGCAGCCAGCACCCGGCCCTTGCTGTGCAGCAGGTCAGAGAAGCTGTGGTGCTCTACCAGGCCCGCCGCCGCTGAGGAGCGGCCGGCGACGGCGGCCCCCTCGCCGCCATCCTCGTCCACCAGCCCCGCCAGCTCGTCAGCCAGCACATCCACCATCTCGTTCTGCTGCAGTGCCTCCTCGCACAGCGGCGTCGCCGCCCGCAGGAACAGTGCCAGCTCGGGGGCCAGGCGGTGGCGCCACAGCTCCTCGGCGGCGACAACGGGGCGCTCGCACTGCACTGCTGCGTCCACCAGCACCGCCGTCTGGGCCTCGGCGCTGACTACCAGCTCGGCGTCATCGGCCGCACCAGCCGACAGGCCCGAGAGCGTGGCCAGGGCTTCCTGGAGGGGAGGGCCGTGGCCGTCCCAGCTGCCCAGCTCCCGGCTCTCTGCTCCGCTGCCCTGCATTTCTCCGGTCATTGATGGTGACAAAGCTCGAAGTGAAATTTCAATTGGAATTGAAGAGCGGCGCTGTTGCACCAGCAGCAGCGGGTCAGAGGTGCGGCATGGGTTTGACCGGCTACAAAAACGCTTTGCTGAGCTGCAAGGCGGCTGTGAGAGGTAAGCAGTTCATCGCACAGGCTGCGAAGCCAATCCGAGGCATGTGCGGGGAGCAAAGACGAACGAAGGCCACGTAGTTTGTCCCTGTGGAGGAGTCCCTGCCCCACGCAGAAAGGCCCTCCTGGCGCCCCGGTCGGCCTCTTCGTTGGCAGGGGTCTTGAGGAGCACGCACTGTAAGCCGCAGCCCGCCGCGCTGCCATCGCTTTGCCGCTCGCCTGCCTATTTCTGACGCCGCTGCCTCCACGTGCCCCTGCTGCAGACAATGGTGCTCAAGTGAGTCCGGCTGCGCGCCGTTGCAGCCCATGCGCCGGGGATGCACCCCGCACATGCAGCTTGCAGCCCCTGGAGTGGTCGGGCGGGGCGACAGTGGCACCGTGACAGCCTGGATTGCAGCGCGTCTGGCCTCAAGCCAGCCACCAGCAGGCCGCACCATCGCCGCCGCCTGCGCCGCTCGTGCAGCACGCTGTTTGCCTATCCCTGCTGCTTCTTTGCCTGGCACCACTGCAGGACCCAGACTTGCCGCTTTAGCGGCTTGAGGATCTACCCTGGCAAGGGTGTGCTCTTCATCCGCACTGACGGCCAGGTGCGCCGATCCGCGTGCCAGCTGGGGGCCTGGCGACCGGCAGTTCACGCAAGGCAGCCCAGCTAGGCAGCACGCAGCAATTTTGGCGGCTGCGAGCAGGCGAACCAGCAGAATGAGAGCTTAGAGCATTGCAGTGGTGCTGGCAGCCGTTGCAGTGGCGGTGGGCGTTGGACTGGCAGGAGGCGACGCAGCGCTTTTCGAGTGCTGGTGGCACTGCTCACGTGATCGCCGGCAGTTGCGTCGCTGGCAGCAGCTCCACCCACCGCTGCCCTTTTACTTTCCCCTGCTGCAGCAATTCCTGTTTTTGAAGCAGAAGTGCCGCTCGCTGTTTATCCAGCGGAAGAGGCCCGCCAAGCTTGCCTGGACCACGCTGTACCGCAAGCAGCACCGCAAGGTCCGAACCCAGCTGGCAGGGTGGCTGCCAGCAGACGGGATGGGACCAGTCGGCAGCCTGTTCATGGCGCTGGCGGATCGCAGAGCAGCAGCAGCAGGGCAGTGCTGCGCCAAGCTGGGCTGCCGGCCGGCGGGCGGGCGCACGCGGCTGCGCACCATGGACGACTGGGGCAGAGGGCAGGGAGAGGGCTGTTCCCTGGCCAGGCAGCCATCCTGAGCTCCAGGCAGCTGTCCGTCGCAACAGAGATGCTGACACCATTCCAGCGGATAGTCAGCATGGGCGGGGGTGGCAGGGTCAGCATGCCCAGAGTTCGCATGCACGCCCGTGCGCTCACCTCACCGCTGCCGCGGCCCTGGCACCCCGCTGTGCTGCCCTGCAGGACCAGGAGGCCCAGGTGGCCCGCAAGAAGCGGCGCAACGTGACCAAGGCGGCCACCCGCTCCGTGGCGGGCACGTCCCTGGAGGTGATCCAGAAGAAGAAGGCGGAGAAGCCCGAGGCACGCAAGGCCTCGCGCGAGGCAGCCCTGCGGTGAGCGCGCCCGCGCGGCACGCGCCACGAGCGAGCGCCGCGTGCTGCCTGCGCGCAGCGCGCCTGCCTGGTTAGCTGCTTGTGCCTTCGCTTGCTGCTGTGGTTGGGGTTGTGCCGCTGACAGCAGCATTCGTGCTAGGGTAGCGGCGTGGCGGCAGCGGCATGCGACGGGGTGGAGCGGCACGCCCAGGGGCACCAGTTGCCAGCCTAGCAGCTTTGTTGGGCATGCCGGAGCACTGCAGCGGGTTGTGCGGCCTGGCGTTGGAAGCAGCTGGCATGGGGCAGGCAGCACCACAGCTGGGAGGCTTCCCAGCCGCCGCTCCCGCTGCTCCCCTGCTGAACGTGTCGTCCACTCTGGCGTGCCACGCGCTGCTGCTCACCCCGCCCCCGCCCCCTGCCTGCCCCTGCCCCGCCCCGCAGCGAGATCAAGGAGCGCACCAAGAAGGCCAAGGCCGACAAGGCGCAGCAGAAGCTGCAGGCCAAGGCGTCGGGCAAGGCGGTGAAGAATGTGCCCAAGGGCGCCGGCAAGGCCGGATCCAAGTCCACCGGCCGCTAAGCAGCACACGATGCAGCGCCAGCAGCCATACATCTGGGCACGCAGTATCCCGCTGGCACTAGTGCCGCAGTTGGCGCTGCGTGTGTAACCACACCGTCGGAAGCTGGAGGGTGAGGGTGTGCTGGAGGCGCCAGGATCAGTGGCAGGTGGCAGGGGCAGGCTTGGCGCGTGAGGTTCTGGGGGATGGGCTGAAACGCATTCCAGCGATGTCCAGGGATTGTGAAGCAAGCAACAATATGGTAAGGGCGGCGGCGCCCACGCTATGGCGGTGCTGCGGCGGCTGGCATGGAGGGCGGCCCGGCTCCCTCGCCTCCCATTCAGTGCTATCCATTTGCATTCTGTTGTGCTGTGCGGGCCACCATGCCGATCACTGTCAAGATAAAGCAGGTCACCGGCGGAGACACACTGGAGGTGGAGACTGAGCCCGAGGTGACCATTGGCGAGCTCAAGGAGAAGGTTGGGGAGAAGCTGGATGCCGAGGCGACCGCGATCAAGCTGATTTACCGAGGCCAAATCCTCAAGGATGCGCAGACGGTCGAGTCTTATGGTGTGCAGGGTTGGAGGGGTGTGCACAGTTCCAAGGCCAGGGATGGACGCGGCAGCCTGGCTGCAGGCCGCCCTCCAGAAGGACCGGTCCCAGGTCTCCCTGCTGCCCCTCTCTACACCCTGATCTGGTGCCCATGCGGCCCGCAGGCATCGCCAACGAGCACGTGGTGCACTGCGTGAAGTCAAAGCCCCAGGGAGCAGCTGGCAGGTGAGCTGCTCTGCGCCGCCGCCAGCGCCTCGACCTCGGGCCCGGCAACTGCAGCTTTGCCTTCCATTTCGCGTGCTGCTGCATTCGGAGGTGCACCTCCAGGCACAGCTGGGCACCTTGCTCACCCCGATCCGCAAGCTGGCGGCGATCCACCTTGTGCGCAGGTCACCGGGTGGTGCCGCCGGTGGCGCCGCCAGCAGTGGCAGCCCCGGCGGCGCTGGCGCAGGCGCGCCAGGGCCGGGCGCCGACCCGCTGGCACAAGCCATGGGCGGCCTGGGCTTTGGCGGCGGCGGCGGGGCAGGCAGCCAGGCAGACATGATCCAGCAGATGATGCAGTCGCCCATGGCGCAGGTAGCCACCCAAGCTGGCGGTGGCTCTTCCTGCGCAGCAGCCGTACGCCGCGCCGCGCCTCGCCCGCGCTGAGGCTGCTGCCGCTGCCGCTGCCGCTGCCCGCGCAGGCGCTGATGCGCAACCCCGAGCTGATGCGCACCATGCTGCAAGCCAACCCGGCGGTGCGGCAGATGATGGAGGCCAACCCCGAGGCAAGCAGCGCCTGCGCCGGGATGCTGGCTCACCAGCCGCTGCTCAAGCCTCCCGCCCTTGCTGCTCCCCGTGCTCTCCCTGCTGGCTGCGGCACCCTCCCCTGCTGCCAGCCCTGCATTGCCTGCCAAGCCCGCTTTGCGTGTGCTGCTGCTGCCTCGCGCGTCGCCGCACGCCAACCCCGCTGCGCTGCCCGCCTCTCATGAGGCGGCCTCACGCCTCATGCGGCGTGCAGGTGGGGCGCATGCTGAACGACCCCGACACGCTGCGCCAGATGTCGCAAGTCATGTCCAACCCGGTGGGTGCGGCGCTAGGGGACCCATGGCCCTGGGCAGCTGTCCTTGACAGCGAGGTGGCAACAGGTGCCCCACCTGCCACTCGGTATGGGAGGGAGGGAGGCCAGGTGCTGCGCACCACAGCTGCGACTCACCTGCGGCAGCCGCTCCCTGCCTTCCCGCTCACCTGCCTGCGTGTCGCGCGGTGCAGGCGCTGATGCGGGAGCAGGTGCGCAACATGGACCGAGCCATGAGCAACATCGAGTCCATGCCCGGCGGCTTCAACGCGCTGCGCCAGTTCCACTCATCCATGCAGGCAAGCGCGGCGGCAGGGGCTGGGGCGGGGGTGGTGCCTGGGTGGCAGCAGCGGCTCGAGGCAGGGGCCGCTTGCACGTGGCCGGCGGCGGCATGCGTGCTGCCGGCGAGCACGCCGAGAGCTTGCTTGAGGAGATGGGCTGCCCGCCTGCCCCGCCTGCGTGCAGCCGCTGGAGGAGGCAGCCAACGAGGCGCAGGCAGCAGAGGCGGACAACCCGTTTGCCGCGCTGTTCCAGCCGGGCAGCGGCGGCGGCGCGCAGCAGCAGGCGGGCGGCGGCGGCGCCCCCAACGAGGCGCCGCTGCCCAACCCCTGGGCCGCGGCCGGCGGCGGCGGCGCGGCAGGCGCGGCGGCGCCCGGCCTGGGCGGCCTGGCCGGCCTGGGCGGCATGGACGCGGCGGCAATGCAGCAGGTGTGCGCGGTCGGGCGGGGTTTTGGTGCTGGGTGCGCTGTCAACCTTTGGACCTGCCTTCCATCACACGTGGCCCCCGAGCCCTACCCCAACCCCGACCCTTGCCCGTCCTGCGTGCGCCCTGCTGCCTGCCCCCCTGCAGCTGATGGGCAGCCCCGACATGCAGGCGGCGATGCAGCAGATGCTGGCCGAGCCGGGCATGCAGCAGCTGATGCAGCAGCAGATGTCCACCATGCTGTCCACGCCCGAGGGCCAGCAGCAGATGCAGGCCATGCTGGAGCAGAGCCCGATGTACCAGAGGTGAGGCGCCGGCAGGCAGAGCCCTGGCCAGCTGGCAGCCGCCGACGCCGCGCCGGCCGGCGCCGCGCGGCTCTGCGCGCCGCGTACCGCCCCACCCACGCCGCCTGCTCCCTCCCACACCTCTCCCCTCTCCCCTCTCCCCTCTTCCCTGCCGCAGTGCCGTGGCCTCCAACCCCGGCCTGGCGGACCAGGTGCGGACCATGATGAGCGACCCGCAGCGCCTGCGTGCCATGATGGACCCGCGCACGCAGCACGCCATGCAGCAGATGGTGCAGGTGGGCGGGGGGCGGGCTGCGGGCGGCGGGAGCACGTGGGGAGCGGGGGCGGCAGGGGGTTGGGAGGGGGAGAGTGGGAAGGTGGTCGGGGAGTCGGGGAGCATGGAGCAGCAGCCTTCCGGTTCAGGGCTGCTGCTGCTGCGCTCTGCGTGCCACGCCTCCCTGCCTGACAACTGCCGCTGCCGCCGCCACCACCGCCTGCAGGCGATGCAGGAGCTGCAGAGCACCGGCCTGTTCCCAGACGTGCCCGGCGGCCTGGGCGGCGCGGGGCTGGGCGGCGCGCCTGGCGCGCAGCCCGCCGGCGGCATGCCCGACATCGGGGCGCTGCTGGGCATGATGGGCGGCGGAGCGGGCGGGCTGGGGGCGTTTGGCGCGGCGCCGCCACCACCCGCCAACCCGGAGGAGGCGTATGCGTCCCAGCTGCAGCAGCTGCAGGACATGGGCTTCTACGACCGGGAGGCCAACATCAGGGCGCTGGTGGCGGCGGGGGGCAACGTCAATGTCGCCGTGGAGAGGCTGCTGTCCACGCTGTGAAGCCAGCCGCTGTCGCACCGCCGGCCTGCCTGTGCCAGGGCTGCATTCTGACGGCACACATTTAATTTCTGTTTGCACCTTCCCCCTCTGTTTGCATCCCCCCCTGCTTGCGTTCCTCCCTGCCCTGCCCTAAGGGGCGGCCACTTTCCGCAGCGGTTAGCAGCGCTGGCACCTGCGCACCGATGCATGCGCCCACAACCCAGTTTGCTCTCAGTCCCCCCAGTCCCAAGCATTCTTGTCATTCACAGCATGTAAGCTTCTGGGACTGTCACTTTAGTAGGGCCCAGGTCGGCATGGTGCGATGCCCCGCCGCCAGCCGTGCGCCAGTGTGACTGCTTGCCAGTGCCACCGCGCATGCCCCAGCCAGCGATCGTTCGTTTCTTCATCCTCCCGCCCAGGCTGGTCCAGGAGCCGTCACACTGCAGCCCGCCTTCTGCAAAGCCAGCGAAGTGCGGCCTGAGGCGCGCCGGGGGGCCTTCCCGGCCCAGGACCTCCCCTCCGATTGTCTGACACTCGCTGGGCAGCCATGGACATCGGGCCATACGAGTTGGTGAGTGCGGCCCTCCCGGCGATGGTCTCCCGTAGTTGCAGGCTGCTGGGCGGGCGCTGAGGCCCTCGGGGCCGCCCTTCCTGCCTGCTCACCCCACGATCACCTCCCCTCTCCGCAGATTCGGGATATAGGCAGCGGCAACTTCGGTGTGGCCAAGCTGTGTCGGGCCAAGGACAGCGGCGAGCTGGTGGCCGTCAAATTCATTGAGCGGGGAGAGAAGGTGCGCCGCTGGAGCGGCTGCAGGCGGGCAGGCCGCAATGTGTGCCGCCGAGGGGCCGCCTCCGCCGCCGCCGAACGTTCACGCAGCCACTCGCTGCCTGTGCTGCATCTGCCGCTGCCCTGCTGCAGATAGACAAGAATGTAGAGCGAGAAATCATCAACCACCGCATGCTGTCGGGCCACCCCAACATCGTGCGGTTCCGGGAGGTGCGGCGGGCCGCTGCCGGGGGATGCCTTGCCGCCGCTGCTTGCATCCGCTGTGCTGTGTCCAGTAGTAGGGCACGGCCCCGCGCCTGCTTTACTGTCGCAGCTCAGCAGCGGTGCTGCCTACCGCGCCGCGCCGCCCGCCGCGCCCAGCAGCCTGCGCCTCACACGCCGCTGCCCCAACCCGCTGCCCCCCGCCGCCAGGTGTTTCTGACCAGCACCCACCTGGGCATAGCCATGGAGTATGCCAGCGGCGGCGAGCTCTTTGACCGCATCGTCAAGGCCAACCGCTTCAGCGAGGACGAGGCGCGCTACTTCTTCCAGCAGCTCATTTCGGGGGTGGCCTGGTGCCACAGAGAGGTGCGGGTGGTGGTGGGTGGGAGCCTTGTGGGAGCCTGGAGCCCTCCTTGCTGTCTCGCTCGATGCCAGCCGGACACAAGCGGCATTTCGGTCGGGCGAGCGGATCACGGGCTGAAGAGCTGGCTGCTGCTGGGGTGCAGGGCGTGTGCCACCGGGACCTGAAGCTGGAGAACACGCTGCTGGACGGGCGGCCCGCGCCGCGGCTCAAAATCTGCGACTTTGGGTACAGCAAGGTGTGGGGGCGGGGGTGGTGCAGGCTGGTGGTGCAGGCTGGTGGTGCTGATGTGGGCTGCAGGCTGGCAGAGCAGGTCACAGCAGCGTGGTGTGGAGAGGTGCTTTCATGTGGCAGCAGGCGGGGGCAGCAGGGCATCGCGTGGCGCGCGTGGCCCGTCGCCAGTTTGGGTGAGTGTGGGCATGTGCTGCCTGTCTGCGACAACACCGCTCCTGCTCCCCTGCGCCTGCCCTGCCCGCAGTCGGCGGTGTTTGACTCGCAGCCCAAGTCGACAGTAGGCACGCCGGCATACATTGCGCCAGAGGCAAGCAAGCGCTCGACCCGCATGCGACTGCTGGGCTGCTGGTGTGCGGTTGCCAGCCCAACGGCGGCCTGCACGGCTCAGATGCTGTCCTCCTTAGCCTCAGCCCTGCCAGCTCTCACGCCGCCACCCTCAATGGCAGCCGAGCGCACTTCACCGTGCCGCCCAGGGCTGTCCTGCTGCCCCGCAGGTGCTGTCCCGCAAGCAGTACGACGGCGAGATTGCGGATGTGTGGTCCTGCGGCGTGACGCTGTACGTGATGCTGGTGGGGGCCTACCCCTTTGAGGACCCAGCTGACCCGCGCAACTTCCGCAAAACCATCCAGGTGTGGCACAGGGCGCGCGGGCAGGCGGCGCATGTGGCGGGCAGCCCGGTCCTGGCTCCCACGCCTGGCTCCCACGCCTGGCCGCCCTCCCCTCCGCACCACACCACGCCGCACCACATCACGCACCCACCCACACACGCCCTCCCCTCCCCGCCCCCGCAGCGCATCATGAGCGTCAAGTACTCCTTCCCCGCCAACCTGCACCTGTCGCGCGAGTGCCTGGACCTCATCTCCCGCATCTTTGTGGCCAACCCTGCGCAGCGCA